TGTCTCTGTTAACTCTCCATCTGTCTCCCTTTCTTGACATGCTGTATCTGAGACTGTTCCTGGTGCTTCCAGACCTCTCCCTGGCCCAACGAGGGGGACGAAGGCTTCCCTTCAGTGGGAATGTGTGTTCTGGGAAGGGATGAACTCGGGGGAGGCAGCAGAGGTGACTTCACTGAATTATTCATTTTGTGAAGGACTCAGGGAAAATTGATTATCCCCTTCTTCAGAACATCAGGAGAAGGAGTGCATGCAATGAAATTAGAGCACCAAATGGAGATCAAATGGAAGGCAGGGCTGCTCCGTGGGCTGCCAGGCAGGGTTCACTCCTGCAGGAGGCAGTTTCTCACAGTGGCTGGGCCCTGGGGAGGGCTGGATACCTTCCTGCAGCTCATGATGTTCTGTGTGGGAGAGGAGGCTGATCCCAGCTCGGGTGGCAGGCTGGGAGCAGGAGCAGGAGGGGATTTATCACCCCGGGCCAGCCCTGCTCCATGTGCCAGGGATGCTGTGGGTCTGTGCTGTCCCTCAGTTGTGGGCTGGTGCCAGGGCCCCCTGCAGAGAGCCGAGAGCTTCCACAGGGGCTGGAGGCAGCTTGGGGGCTCTCCTGGGTTTTTCTGGGCTGTGTGGAGATGTGGGGCTTTGGGTGGCCCAATGCCATGGCTTTTCTTCCAGTGTCTGTGAGCCTTTGCAGTCATTTAGGTTGGATACTGGGAAAAGGTTCTTCCCCCAGAGGGTGGTTGGGCACTGACCAGGCTCCCCAGGGCAGTGGGCAGAGCACCAAGGCTGCCAGAGCTCAGGGAGTGCTTGGACAGCTCTCAGGAACATGGGATTCCTGGGGAGTCCTGTGCCCATCCAGGGGTTAGACTCGATCCCTGTGGGTCCCTTCCAGCTCAGGATATTCTATGATCTGTTTTCTTTGCATAAGTAGATCTCTACAGCACAGCCATGGGATGGGCAAGGACAGCTTTCCCTCTCTTGTGTGTTTGTAGCATCTCAAATACCCGATCCAGAGCCAGGTCAAAGTAGGCTGGAGAAATAGTGCTCAAAATACCACAAAAGACCTGCTCTGAGCAGGACTGGCCACTGTGTCGAGGCCAGGTTGGACAGGGCTCTGAGCAAGCTGGGCTAGTGGAAGATGTCCCTGCCCATGGCAGAGAGTCGGAATGAGATGAGCTTTGAGGTCCTTTCCTACCCAGAGCATTCCAGGATTCTCTGATGCTGTGTGTCCTGGCAGTGGCAGCACAGGCAGGGGCTGCTGCTGTGCTGCTCTCCAGGACAGGCTCAGCAGTCTCAGGGGTCTGCAAATGATATGCTGACCTGAGCCTTTCCTGGGCTTTGATATTCCCAGGAATGCTTATGCTTGTGTTGGGCTGGCTCCCTGGGTAGCCTGATGCCAGTATAAGGAGCTTAAAGCTTTGATAAAGGGCTTTCCATGGGCAGAAGCAACTGGCCTGGGAAGGATTTTGTATTCTAAGAGCAAATCTTTGGGCATTGTTGTGTCTTTGGGCAAAGTGCCCGACTGTCTGAGGGGAGAAGGAGCCTGTGAGGTGAGAGGTGGCAGGGAAACACTTTGGAGTTTGTTTACATGTTGTGAAGAGGAGAAAGGGGAATGTTCTGCAGCAGGAAGGTGCCCGTGTGGGCTCTGGGCAGCAGCGACCGCACTGCCCGTGGGAGCAGCAGCTGCTCGGCTGCCTCTGGCTGCTGCAGGAACAGGCAGCATCCTTCCAAAACACGCAGGCAGCCAACTGCTCCCAGCCCCAACTGCTGCCAGATAGAGCTGTAATTCTGCAGCCTGTCCCCTTGTGTTCAGGGGAACGGGCTGCTCTGGCCATTGGCAGCCCGGAGCTGGTGGATGCTCTGCTGAGCTGCCCCGCTCGCCCTCACTGCCTTGGCAGGTCCCTTCCCCAGGGTGTCCCATCCCCAGGAAGTCCCTTCCTATGCTGGAGGTACAGCCAGACATTTGCTTTGCAGACTTCAAACTCCTGGAACACATTTTGATGAGGTTTTTCTGATTGGCAGGTTCTGGGATCAGTTTAGGAAATTGCTTTATGTTTTTCTGGAGGGTTTTTGAGCAGTGGTTTAAGCCAAGAAGCCTTTCAGCATGTATGTGTGTGTGTATATATTTTTTAAGCAAAACTGTGTTAGCATTTTCTAGCATTTTCTCTCTTTTCAACCTCCACAATAAGATTATTTCCTGGGGTTTGAAAATGCCCTGTTGCTATTGTGATTTCTTAGCCCTCAAACCCAACCTTCCAGAAGACCTTTCTTCCCAGGACTATGTCAGGATCCCAGGGAATGGATGTGTGTGATTTGGCCCTGATACTTTGGTGCAAATCTCTTCAGATGTGACACTCTGTGCTGGGGCTGGTATGAAAAACGTGTGTTCCAGCAAGTCTCATAAGGCTGTGGAGAGTTGCTGAGCCGGGGGTCTCTGCCTCTTGGATTCCATAGGGCTTGGATCCTGTCCCAGGACAGAGATGACTCCTGAGACCCCTGCAGTGGAGCTGGCTCTGAAGGATAATTTAGGACCAGGAAACACTTGCATTATGCAATAGGGAACGGGAAAGGTTAATCTTTCCTTCTTGTTGTATACAAATGACTTGGGATGTTTGTAGCTCACCAGTGGGATTTGATAACTTTATTATCCAAATAATAAGATTTACAAATTAACTGTCTAATTAGCAACCTGGGAAAGCTGCTGCTCGTGCTGGGGTTTCTAAACTGACAAAGACATGGGCTTAAACTGCTGAAGTGTGATGACAGCAGGAGGGTACAGCAGTGGAAAGATCTATCAGAACTCCTCACATCCGTTGGGTGGGATGCACGTCTGGGAGCTGAGACGGGTTTACTGACATGACACCCTGTACCTGACTCATTCTATTGGCCCTCTTTTTGTTTTTTTGCATGGATGGAGCATTCACCTAAGTGTGTGTGAAGTGTTCCAATGGATCTTTCCAAGGCTTGTGGAGCTTCCTTTGAAGCACTGGATGCAAGGCCCAGCCTGGTGCCCTCAGCAGAGGGCTCCAGTTTGTGCTGGATGCAGGGAAGTGTTCTGCTCCACTGTCCTCCAGTGGATTCTCTTTACAGTCTATATTATCCTTACAATCTCTATGAGAATCCTGGAATGGTTTGAGTTGGAAGGGACTTTGAAGACCATCCAGTTTCACCCCCTGCCATGGGCAGGGACACCTTTCACTAGCCCAGGTTACTCCAAGCCCCGTCCAACCTGGCCTTGGACACTTCCAGGGATGGTCTTTAAGGTCCCTTCCAACCTAAACCATTCCATGATAAATTCAGCCCAGTAGCAATCTGGTTTCTTTTGCTGAGCTGGAACTATCCCTGCTCTGCTGGGAGGCTCCTGCTGCAGCCCAGGCTCTGGCAGCAGAGCACCCTCCCGACGGCGCCTGAGCTCCGGCGTGTCACAGAGTTACTGAGTTTATACACACACTTCAGGAGAAAACCTTGCTAATATGGTTCTAATTCCTTCCTTCCTGCTTCCCAGATGCTTCTGTCTCCATATACAAATGACAGAGATGGTGAGCAACGCTTTCAAGAAAATGTTTGTTTGTTTGCCTCAGAAAAGCAAGTGAGAGGTCCTGCGAGGAGAGAGCTCTTGGCAGATGTTCTGCCTTTAAAACCTTCTGGGTTTGGTTTTTTCACAATGAAAAATGTGGAAAGGGAAAGGAATTTACAGCTGGATGTAGCAGAGCACAAAGAGGGAATTGTGAGGTTCATGGGCCACCTTTTCCTTGTTCCTTAGGAAATGTCCTGTAGTGCTGCAACTGTTCTTGTTCATGGCTCAGTTTGGTTCCTGAGCTCTGTCTCCAAACCTCTATGCCTGCTCCTCATCTTCCAAAGAGCCTTTTATTTAGTGTAACCATGACTCTTGGGAAAAGGATGTGGCAGATGAGACCCCTGAGGCAGAGCAGAGTGTGGTGCCCAGGCTTCCCCTCAGAATCAGTGCTTGTTCCCTTTGCTCCATTCCTGCCTGGGCTCCCTTTGGGCACAGTGGTGCCCCTGCGAGCTGGGGTCCCATCCCTAGGGATGGGGCACAGTGTGGATGTGGTGCAGAGTGTGGGTGCACCCAGGCAGGAGCTTGCACTCAGGAGGATGTGACGTGGGGTGTGAGGTGGTGCCTGTTCACCAGACCTGGCACATCCCAGCTCCTCAAAGCAGTGCTGCCACCTCCAGCTGCAGGGTGAGGTGGGCTGAGACCCTCGAAAAAGATCTGGGCCATCAGCTGAAGTTCCCTGCAGTGCCAAACGGCTCTTCAAGGTCTGTTACTGAAGGTGATGTGCTTATTTGTCACTTAGGGAAAACATTAGCTTTGAAGTACGGTGCTTTGACTGCAAAAACTACAGAATAGTGCTGGCAGCTTTGCCTTGGCATGTGCTGGAAGGGTTTGGTAGTTTAGGGGATGGGGACTTAGCTCTGGATACTTCTGCTTGGAAGTCTGGGCAGTGGCGTGTCGGGATTGATTTCCCTCTGCTGTTCCCAGAAGGGCGACTGTCGTCGACGTGCGTGAGGGGAAGAAGACTTGCGTGTCTTCTGGTCTGGCAAACGGAGGCTGGGGAGATGCTGAAGAAAAGCAGAGCTGTGGGAGGAAAATTGCCCACCTGTTCCCTCAGTACAATCTTCCATTTTTGGACACATGCACTTTTCAGCTCAGATACCCGCGAACGCCAGATTCTCCCTCTTTTTATTCCCGGCGGTGACCTCAGTGTGTGCCACGAGTGACAATGAGCTCAGAGGAACAGAAGGGTTCCCAGCCCTCCTCTGACATTTGCTCAACACTTTGTTCTACTGACTTTTACTAATAGCCTGGTCTGGTCAGTGATGTTCAGTAAGGGTTGAAACTCTGCCGCAGCTTAAAAAACCTGCTCAGGCTGTGGGGCCTCTGCTCATGAATCAGATATAGCTGCATTTTATTCCGTTAACTCTCTGTTCTCCTGGTGCTGATCCTGTAACATGCTCCTCACCCCGTCCCTGTCTTCTCTTTCCAGTTTGCTGCTTCGTCGTGCACAAGCGGTGCCATGAGTTCGTCACCTTCTCCTGTCCTGGCGCTGACAAAGGCCCTGCCTCTGATGTAAGTACAGCTCTGATGCCCCGGGTGTGGGCACAGCATGGTGCTCAGGGGCTCACTGTGGTTCACAGCTCTTTGGAGAAGACGTTCCTCCTTGCTTGAGGGCACTTCTGTGCCATTATTTCACAGGCATCTCTGATTCATGGAGTAGTTTAGGTTGGAGCCTCTAAGATCGAGTCCAACTGTTCCCTCAGCAGTGCCAAGGCCACCACTAACCCATGTCCCCAAATGCCACATCAACACAGCTTTTAAATCCCTCCAGGGACAGTGATTCCTTAGTTATGGGGACTCTCATGTTTCTGGGACTTAAAACACTTAAGCCACCCAATAACTTGCTCTCAGCAGAGCAGGGAGGATGTGTGGGGATGCAGAGAGTTCCCTTTGGGGCTGACCCCACAGGCTTGCCCCAGTGTCTTTCATCTCTTGCATCAGAAAACCACCCAAATGCCTGCCATCTAAGTCCCCATCCTTATTTTCACAAGGATTTTCTTTAGTGGATCTTTTGGGGTGAGTGGGAGCCGGGGCAGCAGAGCTGGGCTCTGCCAGCACCATTCAGGTCCGTCTGGCAGGTTTTGTGCTTTACCGTGGAAACTGGCTAATTTGGGGAACTGCTGGGAGAAAAGAGCTCGAATTGGGGAAACGACAGAGCACCACAACTCTCACCCTTAAAAATAGAAGTGGTGGGAGCAGGAGGTGTAACAGGCTGCGGAAGGTGGAGGCTAAACACATGTTGTCGGTCGCCCTCCCAAATCGAGGCTTTGTGCCATGGTGGGCAGAGATGGGGGCCTGCAGGGGTGAGGCTCCCGGGGCCATCAGCAGTGGGTGGGCTTGTCCTGGGCCCGGGTGAGGTCGAACCCTCTGCCTGAGCCGTGGCAGCCCCTGGAGCAGCTGCGGCACCCACGGCCCTTCCTGCGCCGGGACAGCACACCAGGAGGTGACAGTGGCACTGCTGGCACCCACAGGACAAAAGACCCTGAGGGCTTTGCTGTGCTGGGGACAAGGAGGGACTACCAATGGAGGTGTGGGCAGGAGCTGCTGCCTGCTTGGAGTGAGGCCAAGGGCGAGGCTTGGCTGGAACACAAGCCCTGCTCTTCCATCCCTGAGTGCCCGGGCACAGCCAGGGTCCATACAGGGGGGCACTGGGGTGAGTGTGTGTGTGCATACCCAGTGTGCCTGCACGGTGTTTGTCCCAGAGCCCTGGCCCAGAGCAGGTCACTCGAGGGGATGGAGCTGCAGGAGAGGGAAGTGATGGCCTTAGACCACTCAACTTCCCGCCTCTGCTTTTTTTCTGGGAAGTTTTGCTCCCTGCCTCTGCTGCTGCCCCTCTGCAGTGGGTGCCCGCTGAAATAGGGCAAGGACAGCTGGAGAAGGCACGGAGAAATGAGGGGAGAGTGGTGGAGGGGGATCCCTTCCCTGAGGGTTGAGCGTGGCCACCCAGGCAGCACAGGGGTCTGTGTCCTCTGGGCAGTGCCAGTGTTGGGCTGTGGGTGCCACTGGTGTGTGCTGGGCTCCCTCCAGGGAGCTCTCAGTGCTGGAGGTTTACAGACCCTTGCTGTGACATGATGTGACACTGTGAAGTTCCCTCTGGCCATGTGGCTGCAGCTCTGACACTCACACTTTCTCTCTGTTCCCTGTCATGTAAAACACACCAAGGCAGCAGCAGCAAGACCCGCAGGTCCATCTCACACCCTGCCAACCTGCCTGGGGCTGTGGGGGGGTGACACCTCTGCAAAATATCTGCTCTGGTCGGTGCTTAGATATTGGTGCGTGCTGAGATGGAATCTTGCTGCTCAGGCTGCTTTAGGTGCAGTGTGATGGAGAAGGAGCTGGAGCCTGAGCAGAGCCCTGGCTCCCACCCCAGCTGTGGGCACCCAGGGGGTGACAGCAGTGGGTGAGGGGGGCACCAGCCCCGCAGCTGTGAGGGGCCCTGGGAGCAGCTGGGTGGGTGCCCAGGGCACTCTGGTGCCAAGAGAGATGGAAAGGCTGAAAGCACTTAGCCCTGCTGAAGGAAGATGAGGTTTGGCAGTGGAGAGCAGGGCTGGGATCCAGCTGCCACCTCTGGAGCAGCGCTGGCAGCTGGCACTGCCTGGCACTGCCTGGGCAGCTGGAGAGCAGTGTGAGCCCACAGGATGGGCAGCGTGAGCCCACAGGACAGGCAGTGTGAGCCCACAGGATGGGCAGTGTGAGCCCACGGGACGGGCAGTGTGAGCCCACGGGATGGGCAGTGTGAGCCCACGGGATGGGCAGTGTGAGCCCACGGGATGGGCAGTGTGAGCCCACAGGACAGGCAGTGTGAGCCCACAGGACAGGCAGTGTGAGCCCACAGGACGGGCAGTGTGAGCCCACAGGACAGGCAGCAGGACGGGGGACACTCCTCCTGTCCCTGTGGAGCTGCGGCTGATGGGGGACACGATGCTTTGCTGTCCCTCCCCAGCAGCCCTGCCCAGGCTGAGCACACAAGGAGCAGGAGGAGCCCTGGGGCAGCTGGTCCCAGCTGGTCTCTCCAGCAGCTCTGGATGACTGTGGGCAACCTCTGCCTGGGAAGGGAAAGGTCTAATTTAAATCCAAGTTGTCACATTTTAAGAGGCCACACAATACCAGGGCAGGTGTAAAGGCCCTTGGTCACGTTCCCTGTTGCTTGCTGTTATTCCTGGATGAGCATTGGCACCATGGCACAGCCCTTAGACAGGTAACAGCTGCCCAGTGCTGTTAGTGAATCTCTTATTACATCATTTCTGAAAATGAAGAGGGATGCAGGTGCTTGGGACTAAAGCAGGGAGAAAATGGTGCTTTCATAGCTTTTTTTTTTTTTTTGCTATTTTAGCAAAGCCCCCCAGAACCCCTCTGGTCTGTGCCCTTGCCCCTCTGTCACTGGGGGATGAATGCAGGACAAAATTCCTTCCTCCTGCACAGTCAGTCATGCTCGTACAGCAATATCGTTATATTTATAATATATAATATTTATAATTACATAATCATATAATCCTTAAGGAGCTTTGAATCAGGAGAGGGAGAACTACAGCACACAGCAATGCCCTGTCAGCTTTAGAATGAGCCAGGGACTGGGGCTTTGCTTTGAACTGATGGAAAGCTGGACTTTCCCCGTGCCCTGTGGTTGCTGATAACTGTGGTGTGAATCCAGAGACACCTGTGCTGGTGTCAGATCTGGTGCCATCAGGCCGTGCTGGTTACAGTGATGTGTTTTTTCAGTTGATGCCTCAAGCTCGTAACTTTTCCCCAGATGTGAATCTCCAAAGAATCCAGCAGAAATAAGGAGCTTAATTTATTGCATGTGTTAAACCTGGCAGTGGGTTCATCCTCACGGTGGGCCCCGTGGTTGTGCTGAGCTGGAGAGGGAAGGGAGCCGTGCAGTGAACTGGCATCCAGGGCTCAGCAGTGCAGGGCTGCTGGGGCTCCTGGTGCCAGCTGCCTGCTGGTTTGCAGCCCAGAGTTGCTCTTTCCTCTGGCCTGGTCCTGGAGCCCAGGGAAAAAAATATGTTAAAAAAATATCTTCTAACTTTGCTCCTTGATCTCTGTGTCTTTATAGTTACTGGAGAATCAAGGAGAAAACCTTTTGTCCCTGTACAGTGCTTATCCTCTATCTGAACATTTAAACACCTTTGTAATTCTAATTACTGAAATAAAACTCCTCAGTCTGAAGTTCAGGATGTGCTGAAGTGCTGTGGGGGATGCAGGCTGGTGCATGCAGAGATGACCTGGGGTGAGCTGGTGTTTCACACTTGGGGAGCAGAGCAGAATCCCTGGAGACCACTGAAATGTCAGAGTTTGTTGACTGGACAGGCTTTGGGGTGTTTCTTTTTGATCTGGTTGCGTTTGAACCTCCTTGAAGAGAGCGGGAGCGTGGTTGTGTGTTTAACCTTGCCAAGCCTGCTGAGTAGGAGCCTTGCATCTAGGAGAGAGGACTAATTACACATGATAGGGCCTCTAAGTAGAAAAAAGATGTAAGATTAATTGCCTCTTGCAGCAGAGAATGAGGCTGTAGCTGCAGATGTTGGTGCTGCAGACATCAGGCTGCATTCATGCTACACTGGCCAGGGCAGGACTTCTATTCCATGTGCTGCCATGACTTCTGTTCCATGTGAAGGTGCTGCCAGGCTGTGGTCTCTCCCCAGCATTCCCCAAGTGAGAACTGGTGAGGTGCTTCAGAGGGGCTGGCAGCCCAAAGCCCTGCCTCCCCTGTCCAGTTCTGCTGTTCCTCATTCCCAGCTCTGGCACTCCTGTGTCTCCTCTTGGCAGGAGGCAGAGCTGCCATGACCACTCTGACCCACAGCGAGGTCTCCAGGAGCTGAAGTCAGGCATGTGTAATGTATTCCAGTTGGCAAACCTAATTATAGCCAGAGCTATTAGTAGAATGCATAATTATTTAAATTGTAGACAAAATAATCATTAAAATGACCTTCTTTGCATGATCCTGTTAAAGGTCATCTAATCAGGATGCATTAATGAATATCAGAGTTGCTCTCGGAAGGTAACAGGCCAGTGTAGCTACATTTCAGTTTTGCTTGTAGTTTGTCCCCTTTTGCAGCGTGAGGAGAGGATTTCAGGGGAATTTCTTCATGGAAAGCATTCCATGATGTGCCCATCGAGTCAGGACCTTCCTGGTGACTCCAAGCACCCTCTTGCCCATGCACTGCCTCAGAGCACAGGATCTGATCCCTCCTCACATCTCACATTCCTCTGGGCTTCACTGTCCGGTGCTCTGGCAAATCTTCACAACCTTCCTGCAACTTTCTGCTTGCTTTTGTGCTGCTAATTAACTTCTCCAGCTCTCGTGCTGTGCCATCTGCCCCTCGAGGGCGGGCACCTGCTCGCTGCTCCAGCAGCCAGTGACAGTTCCCATGGGATGAAGATGTATCTGCCTTGCTCCCTCCCAGCACCTTCTGGTGCTTCCCTGGCTCTGCCACAGCCCGACTCTCTCTCCTGCCAGCCTGCACATGGCTTCAGCCCTGGCATTGGAAAGCTCTTCTCGTGTTGTCTCGGCGTGTTTGTGTCTGGTTACTTCAGGTGGGACACAGCTACTGGTTAAAGGAGAGGTTAGAGCAGATGGCTGGGTCTGTGCCCTCCCTGTGGCTCCAGAGTACCAGGGCTGGGTCTGAGGTGGGTTTGTGCCCTCATCAGGAGGGTGATGAGGTGGGTGGTGCAGCCTGTGCTCAAGGTGGCACCAGCTGGGGATCCTGCAGGCAGGAGGTGTTTCAGGGATCTCTTTGCTGTTCCAGCACCCAGAGACTGCAGGGAAGCTGCTGTGGGAGCCCCACTCTCATGGAGGTGTAATAAAATGACTCTCGAGGCATGTGCAAGATACCAGACATGTCTAAAGGATGTCGAGATGCAAGTGCTGCTCTGGGAGAGAAGCTGAGTTTGGCTTTTTTTTTTTTTTTTGCTGCTTGGCAAGAGAAAGCGTTTTATTCAGTGTTGTCAGCAGCAAGAGGAGAACAACTGTCGTCCATATCCCACTGCAGTTGTCTGACGAGAGGATGAGATCTTTTGTCAATAAAAATGTATTTACTTGCTGGAAGCTGTCAGGGGCAGGTTCTGTTTGACATGGAAGCAGCCCCCACCGTGGTGCCTGTGCCCACAGCCGTGTCCGTGCTGCTCTGCTGGCTCTTCCCCAGGAGCTGCCTCCATCCTGCTGCCAGGATCCTGCTGCCTGCACAGCCGTGCCCCCAGGCCCTGTGCTCTGTGAGCTTCTCTGTGGCTGGAATGCTGTAAAATACAGAAAAATAGTTCTGGTGTCACTTACTGGCGCAGCAGCGTCCAACTGCCCTGAGCTGTGGCACACTGAGGCAGCTTCCGAGGAGATATGGTGGTAGAAAAGGTGCTCCAGAATCCTGGAATCACAGACTGGTTTGGGTTGGAAGGGACCATCTAGTTTCATCCCTCTGCCATGGGCGAGGACACCTGACGGAGCCCCGAATCTTTGCTGTCTTACCTTGAATAGGACCTGTGTTTTCCTCCTGCCTGTAACCTCCTTTCCATGGAGTCTCTGGTTTATTGTGGCTCTTCTCATTGAAACAAAGACCCAGCACTCTTGTGCCCTTGTTCCTGAACTTCCTTGCTTGGTTTTTTGCTGGGACTTGAGCTGTTTCTCACCAAAGGTGTTTTTCCAGCCCTGTGCAGGCAGGTGGGGGGATGCAGGAGGTGCATCCCCAGGGCAGCAGCTCCCAGACAGGATGGGCCAGTGCTGCTGGAGCCTGGGCTCCCTGTCTCTGGTGGGTGCCATTGTCTCTGTTACATCTTCCCCTACCCTGTCTTGGCATCCCAAAGAACAGCTGGCACAGTGGCAGGATGCCACCTGGAGCCATCACATTCACATCCCTGACCTCTCGTAATCCAGTCTTTCCCTGGAAGGGATGACAGGCCACCTTTGCCTGCTGTGATTTGTTCCCTGCATGCCGGGGGGATTTTCCACATGGGAGTCATGGGAACCAAGTGTGAGGTTTTGGGTTTATGTCCCCTGCCCAGGCTTATTGAGCGCATGCAGTAAGCTCTGGCTGTGTTGTATTTGCTAGTATGCTGCTTAAATTGCTATGAAATTCACTTTTAAATGGTCTCTTCATGGGAACTGTGTTAATTCTTCTTTGGGAGAGATAATTTAGAGCTTTCTCTGCAATGAGACGGGGAAAGCAGCCGCCTGTGATCTTGTTGCAAAGCTGTGTTCTGTCAAATCCAGCAAATGTCAGTACAGAGGATTCAAACAAGCCATCAGTGTGGGCCTGGCTGCCCCTTCCCAGGGCTCCACTGAAGGAGAAGTGGAGGCCTGGGGGGTTATTTCATAGAATCACAGACGGCTTTGGGTTGGATGAGACCCTAAAGGTCATTCAGTTCCACTGCCCTGCCAGGGTCAGGGACACCTTCCACTAGCCCAGGTTGCCCCAAACCTCGTCCAACCTGGCCAGGGATGGGTTCTGCCACCTCTGCAGGGTCGATGCCTGCAGGGCACCAGGTCAAAGCCAGCAGCATCTCCTCTCCTTCCCTGGCTCCTGTCCTGGCTCCCTGCCCCGGGCTCACACCCCTCTGAGGCAGCACTGGCTGGGAAGGGCAGAGTCTTGCTGTGCACTGATATTCTCCAAATGGCATTTTCCAGCTCTGCTCCAAAGAAAGCTGTTCCTGCCCTGTTCTTCAGGCCGGCTCTGTGCTGCTGGGGGAGGAGAAGTGCTTTTTCTTTTCTTGGCCAACTTCTTTTTAACCATTCTTGTTTTAAGTCTCAGCATCTGCATGCGCAGTGTTCTCGTCATCCTTGTCTCGGTGGTACAAAAATAGTCTCTTTGTACAGCCTTGGTCAAAAATGATATCCAGAATTGCCAGTTTCTGGCACTTTCTAAGGCACTGGTCAAGGTGACACGGGCCCCACACATCCCAGCAGCCAGAAAACAGCTCTGCCTCCCTGTTCCTGGCTGCTCCATCACCCTCACACCCCTTGGGCTCTGCCCCTCTGCGTGTGGGTCTCTCCAGAACAGCCCCTTGGGCATGTGGGAGCAGGAGGTGAAGCCTGAAGTGTTCCCATGAGGGATTTAGCCCCTCCCATAGGGCTGTGGTGGTGGGTTTGGGGAGCTCAGTATGCTTCAACACACACTTTGCTTTTCCAGCTCTGCCTTCTTTAACTCCGGGTTCCAGTGGGAATTTCACATCCTTCGCATGAAGTGGGAATTGTCTCCTTTTGCATAAAGCTTGTGTTTTTTATGAATGACTAAAGCTTTCATTTGCCTAAACAGGAATATGTGTTTCTAGAAGGGAACACAGAAGCTGGAGCGCCTGGGGGCGATTCCTCCCCGTGTCACACGCTGGCAGGGGCTCCTGCTCGCCCTGCCCCGTGTCCCCCTCGCCCTGTCCTGCTGCCACAGAGGGTCAGCAGTGGTGGCTGATGCCCAGGGGGCTCTGCAGGACCGGTCAGCCAGAGACCCCCTTTCTCCTGGGACAGTGGCAAGGGAATCATAGGATCCCAGCATGGTTTGGGTTGGAAGAAACCTTACAGACCATCCTGTAGGGTCGAGCCCAGGCTGCCTGCCCCAAGCTTTTTGGGGGAACTCCCTACCCACCTCCTGTTCTAGCCTAAAATCCAGGTTTAAGTTTTCTCTGCTCTCTTATGTTTCTGAGGAATGCAAAAGGCTTTGAAACCTATAGTGTCACTTAAAGAACTGTCTCTTTGGGATGTCCAAAAGGCAGGTTGATCATGACCCTTCTTCCCCTTGGCTTTCCTGTGCCACAGCTGGCACAGGAGCGAGTTGCCAGGCAGAGCTACACTGGGCTCTGTGTCTAGAAGAGGTTTGCTTGGAGTACAAGTTGAGTTATTTCCAGTTTCAGTACAAATTTGCTGAAGCCTGTACCTGATTCCTGGCACTTCACAGATCGAGTTAGAGGAAGCTCCGTTAGTTTTGCTCCTGGCTGGTGTCGTGGGGTTATCTGTGGTGCTGAGTAACAAAGCAGGATGTTGGTGATTAATGCAGCTGGAAGCTTCAATGCAACAGTGCTGGGAAATTAATTTCAGGGGGAAGGAGTGTATTGGCAGTGATGTTATAGCTCGCTTCTGATTCCACTCTTTATTTATTTACTCTGCTCTCAGTGCCCTGAAAAGGTGTCTTTGCTAATGCCTGGGCAGCTTTCCAGGCCATTAAAAAGCTGCTCAGCTCAAATGACAGAGCGGGAGCTGTGCCTTATCCCTAACCCTTAAACAATTAACCTGAGATGAAATCAAGCTGCTCCATGCTGGAATCTTCCCCCTGGCCTGTGTGTGCTGCTCCCAGAGGTGTGGAGCCCCAGAGCCCTCCTCTGCACAGCCCAGCTGCTCCAGGCTCTCCTGGCCTTCCAGAATTGTCTTTTCATGCAAGGAAGATACCAAGAGATACCAAATCCTTGCTATGCCTCAGTGCTTCATCCTATCTCCTGGCTGAGAAGTTGTTTCTTCTGGAGGTTATTTGACTGGCACAGGTTGCCCAGAGAAGCTGTGGCTGCCCCTGGATCCCTGGAAGTGTCCGAGGCCAGGCTGGACAGGGCTTGGAGCAACCTGGGCTAGGGGAAGGTGTCCCTGCCCATGGCAGGGGATGGAATGAGATGATCTTCAATGTCCTTCCAGGATTCTATGATTTGAGTTCGTTTGGCTTTAACTCCTGCTACCTTTGCTGGAGTCCCAGCAGCCCTGTTTGCCTGGTGCCTGCACAAGGAATAAAGGGATAAACTGGGCTCTTCTGGGTCTGCACACTCTGCTGCAGAAAAATCTTCCCTTGCTTTTAAGAAAGCTCAAAATATTAAAGTATCCCCCAAGCAACTTGAATCCATGGGATCATGCTGGGGAGGGCTGGCACTGGAGCACAGAGATGTTTCCTGGGCAGGCTTAATATAAATGGAATCATGGATGGTTTGTCCTGCTCTGCATGGAAGTTGGGCAGTGTCCAGCCCTTCTGTTGGTTTGTACCTACCAATTTCACCTGGTGTTTTCCATGCTAAGACCGAGTTATTGAAAAAGAATAAATCCCCAGACAAGCCAATGCATTGCTTTTTCATTGTTATGGCAACATATGTAAAGAGGAATAAAGCTGGATCCTGGTGATTACTGGAAAAGGTCCCCACCAGTCGGGGGCAGTTGACTGAAGTCCATTAGCAGCACCTCCAGAGCCAGCTGGCACATGGAGTGGGCAGAGCGGGGGTGCCTTGCCAATATTTGATGCAAGTTTATAATCTTTATCCTTTGTTTTCCTCCCAGGATCCCCGGAGCAAGCACAAATTCAAAATCCACACGTACTCCAGCCCCACCTTCTGCGACCACTGCGGGTCGTTGCTGTACGGGCTCATCCACCAGGGCATGAAATGTGACAGTAAGTGATGGCACCAGGGGCTCTGGCTGCAGCACTGGGGGGCTGTGGCACCCCGTGGGAGGCTGTGGCACCCCACGGTCCTGGGCAGGGGCTCCTGACCCACCTGAGTTATAGCCAAGAGCCCGTTCCCTTTGGCCGTGGTGCAGAGCATACTGTGGGGCTGCTGGGGGCACGAGGGGCATGAGTGGGCATCTTCTCACCTGGCGTGGGGCATCCCTGCTGTGGCTGCAGGGAGAGGGAAGGTGTTGGGCTGGGGGGGGCAGCCTGCCTGCATCCCACTGCAGCAGCATCCCCCCCGTACATCCCCTCGGGAAGCACCCCCCGCAGCATCCTTGCAGCATTCCCGCTCCCCACATCCTGCCCTGCGTTCCCCCTGCAGCGTCCTTGTAGGATCTCCCTGCACATCCCCTCGGCTCCCGCTGGCTCCGAGTGACACCGTGTGGCCGTGCCATGCGCTGCCGCTCCCGGCGCTCGGCGCTGCCAGTGGAGAGGAGAAAACGGGGGAATGGAAACAGAGGGAGAGGATGGAATCAGTAATTTTCCAAGTTACTCCTGTGCATTCCATTTAAAGGGACTGGGACATGCAGTGTGTGCTGGCAGCAGGAGCAGCAAACTCGGCTGGTCCTTGCTCAGGAATAGAGAGGCTTGGCCGTTGTGGGAGCAGGATATCCCTTACCAAGGGGAAATGGATTGCTTTGAAATATAAATATTTATATCTGCCTATGTTACATATATCAAATTTTATGCCTGTGTATCTGTATACAGATACACAGGTAATTTTTAATGCCCCTTCTTGGGCTCCTGGTGAATTGTACCCTGGGTGTGATGGAAGAAAAGTTTAATGAGTCAGCAAAACTCAAGTGATCAGAGAACAGGCTCAAAGCCCTGGGGTCTCTTAGGCAGGACCCAGAGCTGCTGCCATGGCTTCCCGTGTCCAGGCAGGGCTCTGCGAAGTCTCTGGCTGTGTTTGAAGATCCCTTTGCTGCATATTTATCCCAGAATCCCTCACAACATCCTGTTGGGAGGAGGACGGGTGCTCCCCGTCCCTCCGAGCGCCCCGTGGGCCGTGGCAGCAGCGGCGGGTGCTGAGTGTGCCCTCTGTCCCCAGCCTGCATGATGAACGTGTGTCCCCTCTGTCCCCAGCCTGCATGATGAACGTGTGTGCCCTCTGTCCCCAGCCTGCATGATGAACGTGTGTCCCCTCTGTCCCCAGCCTGCATGATGAACGTGTGTGCCCTCTGTCCCCAGCCTGCATGATGAACGTGTGTCCCCTCTGTC